TAAGTATTTTTTCTATCTACATTGCATAGGCCATGACCTGTTTATAAGTCTCATTTTTCCTTTTCTTAGAAATGTTAATAACTAGGATTATTCTATAGGAAGAATTAAAAATTACATTCCATGTTTACTTACTTACCTGATTAAAATTTTGATCAATGTTAGATGAGTATAGTTAGCTCCTTTTATTTATAATGGCAGTAGAAGGGAGATAGTGTCATAAGACTTACAGATCTTAGTAATTCAAAATTCTTTTTCTACCTGGGATATATTGTATGACTTTTTTCCTTAGAAGACGTCAAATTAAGATGAATTTATATTCTCTTTCCTGAGTATACAAAAACTGATGATGTGATAATGTCACCCAGAAGCAGATAGGTGCCAGAACTGGGTTTCAGAAACATATATGATATGTATCATTAATCGGAGATCTCTGACAAAAACATAAGTTTTTATGTAGTATTTTGATATTATTTTTAGAGGATCTTGACCTCAGATGAAGTTAGTCAAAAGAAATTTATTTTTTGATGACCTCAGAAGCATGGAAAGTTTACATGGTTATATGGGTGTTTTTCCATTATTCTATAAAACTCTTTGTAGCTTTCATCAAATTATGTAGTATGATTACTATAATATAAAACATGGATTTTTATTAATATGGTTCATCATACTTCAAATGTTTTAAAAAACCACTTTAATCAAGATCAGAGATTGTTTCCATTGCATGTCATCCCATGTGGCAGGGTTGCATCATTTTGTTTGTAGGTATTTCCTTTAACATTTCTAACCAATTATGTATCCCAAAGCAAAGAAACCCAGAAGTTCTTCCTTTTCTAGCCTGCCTCTTGATGATTTGCATTTAGAGGCAACCCACCTCATTTTATGTAGATGCTTATTTAACAGATCTCTCTATTTTAATGGTAAAGGTGATTCCGTTTTAAGTGGCAAGAAAAACCTAACAGTCTGTCTAGTAAAAGGCTTAAAAATGGAAAAGCATCTCCTAATCATTTTCTCAGCTTTGGAGAATTAACTTATTTTTTAAAAATAGAAATTCTAAGTATGTCTAAATACAATTTCTGGTGCTTTGTATTAGTATCAATGAAAAGGTAGAATCTCTATCAGCTAATTGATTAATCACTAATGTTTATAATAGAAATCATCTCACATGAAACTAATTTTAAAATAATGACTCAAATATTGTTTTACCTTTCATGCTTGATAAGAAGTTTTGCTTCCTTTTATGAATGGCTTTTGGCTGTGAATTTTTTTTTTATAAGTCTTTAGGTCTTTTATGGTTTTAATAAAATAGACTTAGTAAATATGCCATACAATAGCTTAGCTTTTTCTTCTAAAAAAAATTTCAAGTAAATTGTCTGCCTAATAATTTACAATAATGAGCAGAACCGCATAAATAGTTGGGTGAATCATCTGTAGTAATAATTTTGCCTAGAAGTATTTTATATAAAAGTAAGGCCAAGTTAATTTGTGATTACCTCCTGTTAGATATCAGTTCTAAACACTTAACTGAATTATTTGCTGAAAGGTTAAAATTAAAGCACAGTTTATTTCAGTGTTTTACTATATGCAAGTGGATATTTTTATTCACAATATGAATTTATTTCAACTTTATATTATAATAAAAGCAATTATTTTGGTAGAATGATTTTAGTTATTTTTGAGGAACCTCAAAAAACTATAAATTTATACTGTAAAACAATTATTATTTGGTGATAACATAAATGATAGCAGCTTTGGTTAGGATATAAATTTATGACATAAAATGAATCAAAATATAGTAATTTCATTTCCCTAATCTGTGGCTTAAAAATGCTTGTTCTTTACTTTCAGTAGTTACCCATATAGAAATCAGTTTATACAAAAGCAAAACGAAGCAGTGCACATCTTAAAACATAATTACCATAATCTGATTTCCAGTGTTTTCCCAAACATTTAATTTCTAATAACAATGGAAGTAAATGATGTTTATGAAAACTCAACTTATTTTGTATTTGTTTAGACGCTGGTTTTCAATACAGAACAATCAGTTGGTTTACCAGAAAAAGTTTAAGGTAGGTGTTTGGTTAAGTAATTGAGTAAAAACCCAGTAAGTTCTCAATTTCAGTTCTTTATCTGTTTGCCTTGGTAAACATTGAAGTCCGTAAATACTCGTGTGCAAAATTACTGTAATTATTGTTTATTAATTTTATGTTTGAGCATAAGAGGACTCTAGCGTGGAAAATACCAAGATTTGATCCTTAAAAGCAGAGTGATTTTGAATCCTGAATTCTTAATTCCTGGCTTTGAGATGGATTTTTCTCAGAATGTCCCAGGATTATATACTTTTATTTCTTTTTTCAAAAAATGTTTTGGTAGCTTTTTATTGTCATATATTTGTTGTACATATCTTTGGGGTACATGTGATATTTTGATACCTGTATACAATGTATAATAATCAGGATAATTGGGATATCTATCACCTCATACATTTATCTTTTCTTTGTGTTGGGAACATTACAAATCTTTTCTTCTAGCTGTTTTGAAATATACAATACCTTTTTTTTTTTTTTTAAAGAGACATGGTCTCTATTCTGTCGCCCAGGCTGGAGTGCGGTGGCGTGATCACTGCAACTCTGAACTCTTGGACTCACATGGTCCTCCCACCTCAGCTTCCCAAGTAGTTAGGACTACAGGCGCACACCACCATGCCCAGCTAAGTTTTGAAAAGTTTTTGTAGAGACTGGGTCTACATTGCCCAGGCTAGTCTTGTACTCTTGGCCTCAAGCAATCCTCCTGCCTCAGCCTCTCAAAAGTGTGAGCCACCACTCCTGACCCTTTTATTTCTTTATATGTTTTTTTATGTCTAGTTGTGTGACAGGAACAACACTACCATTCCATGGTACTATTTTGAGGCTGGAGGAGAGGGTGCCTTTTAAAAAATATCACCTTAGGGCCAAAGGTGATAATATAGAAAGGTCAAAAATGGCATTAATTAAAATGTAAGCTTGAAGTAATTTAAATAGAAACACCTAAATTTGTTAATATAGTTTTTATATATTATTTTTCCTAAAACTTATTTTAAGGGTGAGGAAGTTTTATTTATTGGAAAGGCATGCTGGGATATGTGACTTGAGAATATTAAACATAATTAGAAAAAAGAATCATTAGTTAAAATTGATAACTTCCTTTTTACCTAATTAGCGTTTATAAATAATACTCTATCAACTATACATTTCAAATATCTACTTAACCTTGAGATGATATGATATGAAATTTTACTTGCTAGATTCTAAGGTGAGCAAGTTGGTTCTACACAAATCCTTTAATCTAGCTAGTAGTTCATAGTTTCTTCTATTCTGATAAACTTGGTTTTGAGTTTATATTTTTATTAAGTAGTGGAAAATGATTAAACCTTGCTCATTTTCTTAGGTGTTTTAAAAAGAAGTTATATCTTCTTATCTTTCTTTGAGGTGTTTGAAATTCGACTGATTAAAGACTTCTCTTTTGGAGGAAAGTAGCTTTTGTTATATATGAGTGGGGCCAGGAGAATAATAGATATGAAAGAAAATGGAAAAAAATTCACAGGAAGCTAACATTTATTGAGCATCTACTAAGTATCAAGTGTTGGACCAAGCTCTTCATATACACTATTTCATTTAATCCATACATAATAATTTTATGAGGAAGAGACAATTTATTAACAGGACAGAATTACCTTTATTTTTATGTCTATGTTGATAACCTTTTTCTGTATCTAAAATAAGATCAAATATAAATCTTTAAAATTAGACTAGTTATTCCAAGTAATATTTTTAGATATGTTATTATTGGTAGTAGTATTTGAAACCTAAGTTGATAAATATGGAAATTTCATTTTGTTATTTGTAGGATAATCCCACTGTAGTAGTTGAAGATCTTAGGCTCTGCACGGTGAAACATTGTGAAGATATAGAACGACGATTCTGCTTTGAGGTAGTCTCTCCAACAAAGTAAGTGGTTTTAAAGAATCTATGAATTGTTTTTATGTTTCTAGTTTGTCTTAAAGAACTTTCCAGAGTAGAGAAATTTGCATTTGACTGTGATTATCTGTGTTAAAGAGGAAGAAAATGTTTTAAAAATAAATTTCAATAATTAATCATTACAACTTCCTTCCTTTTAGAAGTTGTATGCTCCAGGCAGATTCTGAAAAGCTGCGCCAGGCATGGATTAAGGCTGTTCAGACCAGTATTGCTACTGCTTATAGAGAGAAGGGTGATGAATCAGAGGTTAGTAGAGGTATTAGCAATATCAAATGACATATTGCCAAAAGTTCTTAATTTTACTTTTACTTGCAATATTATATAATTTTAACATCTTTTTTAATGAAGTATGATTGTATGTAATTGAAATGAGTTTTATTTTTAAAATCCTAGATTTAATTTCTATTTTATTTCTCTTGATTTTTACCTATCATTTTATTTTAGTATTTGAATATATGTTTACTTTAATATTTGAATATATGTCCCAGATTAGAACAAGGTATAGCAATATTAGTATTTTTCCCCAAAATATTTTACTATTTTAATTAACTATAAAATAAAATAATGATCATGAAAAGTATTTAAAATTAAAACTGAGGAAAAGCCAAAAAGGAAAGTACAATATTGTCTCTTAGTTGAAGGCTCCTTGGAAAATATAAGCTGAATATGGAATCTTGGGTCATAGTCTGGCTTTAGCCTCCCAAAGAGTTTACAGACTTTTTTGGGCAAGGCCGTGAGTGAGTCCTGAGAAATGGAATTCCTTACTTTTGCATCATCTGGCAGGACTGTGGCATAGGCTTGGTGATAGACAACTGTCAGGGGAACGGATTATTCTCTAAATTGTATTTCAAAGGTCATAATGGCCAACTTCCAGCTCTCAAGAGTAGATAAAAGAACTCTTCCCAAGCAGGAAATATGGGGACTCACTTGATCTAAGCTGCAGGGCATAGAGAGGAATGTAGGAATTTCTTCAGTGATCAAGTTCACCTTGGGTACACTGTTGGGTACAAATAATGAGAACATTGACAAAGGGCATGTTGGCAAAGATAGCCCTTATTATGTTTGTCTGCAGAATCACACGTCTTCAGTCTGCATCACTTTCCCCATAAGCCTGCAGCATAGCTATTAGTTTGGAATTTCCTTACATAATCATTTTTGAAGATTCTTCTCTTTCCTATATCCCATATATTTCTCCTTCTTAAGAAAAATGTAAGTACTTTCTCCAGTAGCATCCTGAAAATGAGACATTTGTGATTCTATGCATGTCTGAAAATGTTTTTCTTCTGTCCTTATATTTGATAGTTTGGCTAGGTATGGAATTTTTAGGTTGGAAATAATTATTCTGAAGAATTTTAACAGCATTGTTTATTTGTTTGTTTAGTTTCCAGTATTGCTACTAGAGCTTTTCTTATTACTAATCTTTTGTATTTCTCCTCTCCAGTGTCTCTGTTTTTTCTTTCTGGAATTTCTGGACTGGTATTATGATATTCTTTTTGTGTGTGTGTGTTTTTTGCTCTACTTTCTGGGAATTCTTCTCAGTTAATCTCTTAAGTTTTCTGTTGAATATTTCAGTTCTTGCTAGCACACACTTAATTTCCAAGAGTTTCTTTTTTGTTCACTGAATGTTTGTAAATATAAATCTGTTCTTTTTTCATGGATTTAGCGTTAGAGCTATGGTTCTTAACCTTGACTGCACGTGAAATAACACAGGAAGCTTTAAAAAAAATTCCCAATGCTCAGCCAGGCACAATGGCTCATGCCTGTAATCACTTTGGAAGGCTGAGGTGAGAGGATCACTTGAGGCCAGGGGTTCGAGACCAGCCTGGGCAACAGAGTGAGACCTTGCCTCCACAAAAAAATTAAAAATTAGCTGAGTATTGCCTGTAGTCCTAGCTACATGGGAAGCTGAGGCAGGAGGATAGCTTGAGCCCAGGAGATGTCAAGGTTATGCTGAGCTGTGATCACAACACCGCACTCCAACCTGGGTGCAGAGTGAGACTCTGTCTCAAAAAAAAAAAGGAAGAAAGAAAGAGAGAGAGAAGGAGAGAGGAGAGAGAAGAAAGAAAGAGGGAGAGAGAGAGAGAGAGAGGGAGGAGGGAGGGAGGGAAGAAACCGTTAAATGCATGCCTATTGGTATTTCCAGTTCTAATCTAACAAGATTCATTCTGGTTCTCTCCCTTTCCATATAAATAAATAATTCCTATCTCTGCATTGAGAAATCTGTTCCTGTTTATCTTTAACATGTTTACTTATATGATTGCCCCCCCCACCCCGTATGTCACCAGTATCCTGTCTCTGTTGTCTCCTGCCCCCAATCTTGTCCTCCCAGCCCACTTATCCTACTCAGGCTCTGACACCTCATACTGGGTAGCACTACTATTAATACTTAGATGCCTTCCCCTCCCTATTCAGGCTCCTATTTCCTTTGCTGGGCTGCTGCACTAGACAGACGTCCTCCTTAACCTGCTTGGGATCCAGCAACCTGTGCAGGGTTAACCCCTTATGTGGATACATTTCTTCACTCAACTAAATCCTCTAGAATACTGTGTCTCCACACTTACCTTGTGGGGCCCTGTCTAATGGCTCTTGAATTGAGCTTTCAGGAAGGGGAAGACAAGAGCTAAATTATATTTCTATTGATTCTGTACTCACATACAGGCTTGTTGAAATTGAAATGTTTTTAAACCAGAGGCATTTTATAGACCATATCTTCCATTGCTTAGGATCTGTGAACCACATCTTTGTATGTGGTCATTGTGGCCATGTATAGACAAGTGCTTAATAAATACTCTGTATTATTGGTATGGACTTTGCTGTGCACTTAAAAAATTGACTTTTTGTTTATCAACCATCTTTTGCTTTTCTCCTGGTTTACCTAATATCCCTTGAAATTTTAAACATTGTGTGTTCTATTGTTGATTCACTCTTTAATTATAATTATGTAGTTGATCTGTTCTTTAGTATTTAACTATACGCAACCATACCTTTTCTAGTTATTCACTGCAATAATTAAAATAACTTGCTTACAGTTCATTGAACACCTTGGAAAAGTATGGTATGAAATAATAATTATTTTATTCTTAAGTCTTAATAGTTTCATGTCTCTTTCTTCTCTCTCCCACCTTGCTTGTTAAACTAGTGTTCCCCCTTCTCTCTGCCCTCATATCTTGTACATATATTCATTGTATCAGTTATTATATATAGGTTTAAATGTTTATATGATTCTCCCCACTAGACTAAAAATCCATTGATGGGAGAGCCTATATCTTTTTATTTTTGAATCTCTAGTGCCTAGAATAGTGCCCAGCTAATGCCCATAATAGGCCTTTCATTTATGAGTGTAAGTTTTTGTTTGGAGCATGTAGCATATAATCTTTTTTTAAAAAAACAAATAATTCTTAATTCTTTTAGAAGCTGGATAAGAAATCATCTCCATCCACAGGAAGCCTAGACTCTGGAAATGAATCAAAAGAGAAATTATTGAAAGGAGAAAGTGCTCTGCAGCGAGTCCAATGTATCCCTGGCAATGCCAGCTGTTGTGACTGTGGTCTCGCAGACCCTCGGTGGGCCAGCATCAACTTGGGCATCACCTTGTGTATTGAGTGCTCTGGGATTCACCGGTGGGTAGGCCTACCTAGACTCCTTCTTTGGATAAATACACTTTGGAAATTATCACATTCCATTTGTTAGAGGGCCTTTTCCACTTCCCTAATGTAATTACCAGTTTGTATCTTTGTACCTTTTAAAAAGTGTCTAAATTTCTGGTTTGTAAAGTGGTTTTGAGGACTTTTGTTCACCGTCATTATGAACCAGAAGATCTGTCCCTATTTTTACGTGTGTTAAGGCCTACAGTGGCTTGGTGTCGTGGCTCACACCTGTAATCCTAGCACTCTGGGAGGTTGAGGTGGGAGGATTGCTTGCTTTCAGTAGTTCAAGACCAGCCTGAGCAAGAGCAAGACGCTGTCTCTAGCAAAAATAGAAAAAATTAGCCGGGCATGGTGATGCATGTCTGTAGTCCCAGCTACTCACGCGGCTGAGGCAGGAGGATCGCTTGAGCCCAGGAGTTTGAGGTTGCAGTGAGCTGTGATGATGGCACTGCACTCTACCCGGGGCGACAGAGTAAGACTCTGTCTCAAAAAAAAGGGGGGAGGCTATATTAGAGACTTTTAGAGACTATGTCACATTAAAAGAGAAAAAGAATTTGCACAAATATGCAAATAGAGTAGAAACTTGATAGTTTTACCTATTAATGTGGTCTTCTTTTTTCTACTTAGGAGTCTTGGGGTTCATTTTTCTAAAGTAAGATCTTTGACTTTAGACACCTGGGAGCCGGAACTTTTAAAGGTAAAATAAATATTTGCATAAAAATATTTCATATTTTCACATATAAGTGAAGATTTTAGAATCTTAGTTTACAAATTTATGAGTTCATCATGCTAACAATGAAGTAAATTGTATTGGAACATATTTGAGGTTATTTTGGCAAATCTAGTGTTTTCATAATAGGTTTTTTAAATTTGCTAAGTTTATGTAGCACTCTTAACTCCAAGTCAGTTCACTCTTTAAGAAAACCAGTGTTCCTACATTTTTGTGTTTTTTTCAAAAATTATCTTAGAATCTGTGCCTTAATTTTAACCATTTGTAATTAGATTTTTATTAAAAATAGATATATTGCTATAGTATAGTTTGTAATAGGTTGGTATAACTTTGGGCACCATTGGGTTATTTTAGCATTGGACTGTTTGCAAATTTACATTTGTCAGGCTAGGAGGCATCAAACCAAGTCATCCTTTTTTTTCCTGTGTCTAAGAATTTATATCTATGAAACTGTCATAAATAATTTTAGGCCACTACTGTGTTTCTGATAAGATTATAAAATTCCTGACTGTTAATAGTATATTCCTTTTAATTCCCACCATCTAGTTTACCATATTGTAGAAAATAGATTAGTTTAAGGGTTGGAGTATACATACTGATTTATTTCTGTCTGAAAATTGTGTTTTTAGTGTATTTGTGTTTTTATTTTAATCCATAGATAAACAGTAAACCTGTCAATTATGTGAAAAATTTGCTCTGTGGAATTATTGTGTAAAGATCTAAATAAACGTGATAAATTGGCCCCTTAGGTAGCCCTGTTTAGATAGATTCTACAAATTATGAATTCAAAGGAGAAGAAAGTGGGAGATGAGGAACAAGAATCTAATTTCTGCATCAGCTTTGTGTGTAGATAAGAATTGAATGGATTCAATGTAGAAAATTTGGTTGAAACACATTTATCTAATACATTTTAAAAATATGGGTGAAACTTTTAAGCAAAATATTTTGAAATACTTAACATATAAATTATAATGAGAAAATAGTTTACTTTAATTTTGAGTTTTTTAAAACTTTACCTGTCTTACCTTAGGCTTATTTTTTTAATTAATTCACCAAACATTGCGAATGATACGCAGTGTTGTGCTAGCTGTAGTAGAGGGATAGAAAACTAGTAGAAGATGGGTTCCATTCTCTCAAGAAGCTTAAAGTAATGTTGGGGGAAAGATTGCAGATGTGAATGAAGACATTAGATAACAGATACAAACACCTGATATCTTAGTTCAAATTTTAAATAATGGAATTATTAATGAGGATACTTAAGAAAGAAGGAAGTACTTTGGGTCAGACCTTTCTAGAGGAAAGTAAAATTATAACCCAGGCAAAATACAGAGCTTCAAATAAGTAAAACTTACATTGTAAAAGATTGTAAGCAGGACAGTAAATAGAATATTAAGAGAATTTCTTGAGAAGAAATAGAAGTCAGGTGGTATTACTGGAGAAACTAGCATGCCACAATACTGAGATTAGGTTTGATTTGATATCTCTTTATTCTAGAAGTTTAGGGGAGGAAATAGGAAAATATTTTTCTTTGGGCAAGTATGTATGGGAAAAAGAAATAATTGGATGCAATTAAGATAAAGTTTGTAAACCTTTAATTATTTTTTAATTAAAATAACATGTATCAAAGATAAGCTTTAAAATAATTGATAAGTAAAAGGAAAAAAGCCTCTCAAAATAGTAACCACCACCTTCTCCAAGGTTAACTATTTTTAATATTTTGCAAAATATTGTTCTAGACTTTTATTTTGTCCCTGTATGAGATCTGAAAAATTTTAAAGAAAATTATAAAATAATAGTATATAATACTAAAATTTTGGAAAGTAGATAATAATTCCTGTAATTTCTTTTTCTTAATAGAATTTATTTTTTGGTAAAATTCGCTAATTTTTATAAGAATATTTTATAAATTTTAATCATAGTGATATGTTTATTTGGTATATAGTAAAAATGTGTGCCTAACTCTTGATATTTTTTCCAAATTCTTAGCCAACTTTCTTAGCATCAGTATTGAACAATCCTTTCTTTTCCTATCATTTTGTTATTTCTTCTTTGCCCTATGTTAAATTTTTGTAAGTAGGCCTGATTTCTGTTTTGTTAATTCTCGTCCAGTGATATATTTATTGTCTCATAGTACCAGATTTTTTTAAAAGGCTATTATATAATAACTAGTATCTTTACTTTAAAAAAAATGTGGTGTATAAAACTAGAAATAATAATTGCTCAAAGAAGGAAATAGCACATTTAAAATTTATAAGAAGTAACTGGGCTGTGGGGTCAAGGGAGAGAAACTCACAGAGAGGGAGAGGTAATAAAAACAAGGGAAGAAAACCATGACAGAAAGGGATGTCGTAGAAATAATGGATCCTTAAAAAGATGATGATTAAGGAACAGGGAAGAAAGGAAAACCCTTCTCTCCTGGCTGCCTATTATACACTTTCAGAAAGTGACCTTCCCAGATCCTATTCTTGGGTCCAAATAGCATTTTTATTTTCTTGCTGTCTCATCCCAGATGTGCCCCCTCCCACCAACTGACATGTCCCAATACCTTATAATTACTGGTTATGTCATCCTAGTTTATATGCAGTATCTCCTTTACCCAGATATAATTTTTCAGGGAATGGTTTGTGTGATCTATATCTTGACATCATAGGCATGTTTGCTCTAGGGGTCAAGCCTGGAACTGGGCACAGTTCATTCTCTTATCTTAATTATCTTAATTAGCCATTCACTATCTTAATTAGCCAAGAAGCTACAGATATAATTTATTAGTAAGACAAAGAGAGCTTGAACTGAATTAAAGAGGTGAATGGACAGATGGAAAGGAAAATCTAAAAGATTTTGGAACATATAACTAGGAGTTGGTTGTTATTTGGAGACAGAACCCAAGGAGAGGTAAAAGTCCAAAAATAATTTTAATAATGTAAATTTTGTAGATTTGAATATTTTGAGGAATTAGAAGTGAAAACTGAAAAGAATAGATATTTAATTTTTAATTTATTGTACTAGGACTGACAAGTACTTGCTATATATTACAGTATGGGTAATGCTTTGCCATGCTTCTTGCCTTACTATATACATATAGGTATAATAGTTATGATATGTAGATAGGTAGATAAATAAAGAGTCTGGTAGGGATGATAATCTTCTAGAGGAGATATTCTGGTGAAGAACGGCAAAGTGATAGTATTGCTGTCAGTTCTTGTTTCATTTTGTTTAAACTTCTTTGTGGAATGAGCAATTGCAGAATATGCAAGGGAATTAGATGTACTTGCTTTAAGGACTTTTAAATTTTAGCTTATTTTAAGGACTTTATAGCTTATTTTTCTATTTTCCTGACAAACAGCTTATGTGTGAGTTGGGGAATGATGTTATAAATCGAGTTTATGAAGCTAAAGTGGAAAAAATGGGAATAAAGAAACCACAACCAGGACAAAGGTACTATTTCAGCTGTCTTAATGTGCTACCTTTTTTGTCTAATCAGGAATATAGCTATGATTTTATTTCACTGTAGTAATTGATATATAACATTGAGACAGAATGATTAGAAGCAACCGTTATAGCTTCTGTTCAAATGTGGCTATCTCTTGAGTATGTTAATTAAATAATTGTATTGAGCAGATAATCAATTATAGTCTCTAGAGGAAAGAGAATCTTAAAAATTAAGGACCTACATAGGAATCTAAAAGTTCTTAGCAGTTAAAATAGACCAAACTTCTGTTAGTGGTAGGCATTCAAAAAGGGATAATCTGTTCATTAATGAAAGGATCCAGTTTCTACTACCTACAATAAATAATTTAACCTTGTTTGACTTAGTTTAACAAATATTTATTAATCACATACTTCATGCATGGCATTGTAATGTTGAAGAAACAAAGATGAAAAGGGTACCTCTAGTAGGGGAGACTACTTAATTGCTGTGTTTGAAATTATACTTCCAATTCTATATAAGGAGGCTCATCGAATGAAGTGGGTAAGAGTTTGTGCCTTCAAAACCCATAATTTTTGTTATTGTTGCTGTTTTTAGTCTTTACAGTTCTTTATTTTAAGCATTAAATTTTTATTTGCTGTAATCCTATGTTGAGATTTTGTGTTTGACTAAATATTTGTGTATAATCAATACTATTTTAAAGTTACCACTCGTTAAACCAATGTCACTTAAATCAGAATCTTAATTATTTGCTAAAGTATGACTGAATTATTTCAGACCTTGACCGATCCCTCTACTTTAGCCAGACCTAAGCATTTTAAAAGTATATAAGTAAGAAAAAGTATAGAACAGACATGGCATTTTATGACTATATCATAAATCAAAGATTTTAAATGTGACATCTTTTTTCCCCTTAAATTAGGAAGGCTATGTTGTTTTAAAGTAGTTGTCGTATGAAAAATTATGGCCATCAATAGTGATAGTTCAGTATATGCCATTATTTCTTAAAGGAAAAACAAAATTAAAGTTGATTTCTATAAATTTTAAGTTTTCCTGGTAATGTTTTTCATTCTGTAAAAAGCATGAGGGTGTATGTTATAGAAGCGAATGAGCATAAAAATTAAGGCAGTAAAAGAGTGCCATGTTAATACTTGTGATTTTTCAGTTAGGTTATTGTTTGTATTTCATTTGAGTGTAAAATCATAGTTCATGAAATATTTTGAAGGAAAACATGTTGCATAATGTCACAGATTCAGTTTTAACTAGTATTAGATTCAGTAACTTTGTTTGAAAATATTCAATATATAATAGCTTCTTTTCTGTATTAGCCATGCTAAGGGATTAAGCAGAACATGATGACATTTTTATGTATACCAGACAGGAGAAGGAGGCTTATATCAGAGCAAAATATGTGGAGAGGAAATTTGTGGATAAATATTCTATATCATCATCACCTCCTGAGCAGGAAACAAAGATTGTCTCCAAAAGTTATGAAGAAAAGAGGCTGAGCATTTCTAAACTTGGGCCAGGTGACCAAGTCAGAGCATCTGCCCAAAGTTCAGGTATTATAACTTCCTTCTTGTGTATATAAATATTTTCTTAAACTGAAATCACTTTCATAATCCCTGAATTAGTAGCCATTGTAGGTTTTTTAAATGCTAAAAAAAACCTGTTTCCTTCTACGTATTCTAAGGAAAAACTGGATTTCTATGTCTTTAAAACAGTTAAATTTAAATAGTGCCATGCTAATTCACATTTCTAGGTAATGTGTATATTCTAAGGAATAAAATTGCTTAAAATGCAAGGGGAGATGGGAATTATAAATCTGTCATTCCAAAAGCCCTAAGTATCTGATTAACTGCCTGATTTCCTTCCTATTTTTTCCTCCTAAATTTTTCCCAGTAACGTTTTTTTCCTGCCCTTTTCCCTTCTTATGGCCTGCTTTGTGCTTTGCTAACTTGCATGTCCCCAGTGATTGCTGTAAATAGCGACGAGGCCAGGCGGGAGTCTCTGTTCTGTCCTGATGAGCTAGATTCACTCTTCTCCTACTTTGATACTTCTTCAAAACTGCGTAGTAGTAAGTACTACTCTTGTGGAGCATTCCAAGTCTGTGCCAGTGGTCATTGTGCGGTGTGGCCATTTCTCTAGATGTTACCCATTGTCTCAGGATTACGCATTACTTACAATCATACGATGAATTAAGCTCTTTACTACCCCTGACATAATTATGGGATAATGAGATGTGTTACAGCTCTGAAAATAAATTTATTTTCAGGCTTTGTGACTGATTTGTATCTTGATAAGCTAAGTGTTCAAAAGGATTAAAATTGTATTAAAGGTATTCTACTGGTGGTGCCTGAGTTCATGTTGACGTATAAGAGCTCATTTTAAAACCTTGTTTGTGGGAGATTGTTTTCTTGATGACGTGAACTTTAATCACTAGCCAATTTTTTCTTTAAAACAGTCAAAAGTAATGACAGTGGAATCCAGCAGAGCTCTGACGATGGAAGAGAATCTTTACCCTCCACAGTGTCAGCCAATAGCTTATATGAACCTGGTGAGTTTTGGTGAAATTCAATGTTAATTGCTATTGTTTGCTGAAAAATGTATGTAGTAAACGACTAGTCTTGATGAAATAGTTTCTAAGAGAAGTGTTTAGTCTTCTAGAAGGTACTAAGGGAGGAGTGATACTTCTAAATGAAAAAGCAACTATTTCTCTTTATATTTGGAAGTTCTGTCCTAGTTGTACATCCTTCTAAGCCTCATGTATGTGCTAAAAGGCCTTTCCAGTAGCTGAGGGTAATTTTTAATCCACACGAACTGTGTATCTTATTATTCTTTATCTTTTCTTGTGGCTCTCTTTTCTTCTCAAGAGAAAGAGATCATCAGCTCCCTTGCCACTAGATTTTCCTTCTGACCTTTGCTTTATTTCTATATTCTCTCCTCATGATTTCAGTGATTTTGATCCTGCGGGGTACTCAGGGGAATAAGCATTCTTCAAAGTCTTTGAACTGCTTATAGTGCAAATTGTGATGGTATTGTACCATCCTAGGAATGAAGCGAGGTTTAGTGGTAAAATTCTTCAGGGTTTCTTACTGCTTCTTAAGTCCAAGCTTATAGGAATATAACCAATTTTAATCTAGTATAGAGTAATTAACCTATCCATTATATACCGGTAAAACCAGAAAGGCTTAGCATACCAGTTGATGTCTTTATAAGAGAAAAAGTTTGAATGTTTGGGGTGTCATTATTCTATGGGAAATAAGATATCCATGTGAAAATCTCCCATAAACTCATTATGACAGATTAATGGTTTCTTATGTCACAACTTTCACATTGTGATAAGTTTAAGAGTTCATTTATTAATATTTTTAAAAATTGTGGTAAGATAACACATAACAAAATTTACCATCCTAACCATTTTTGAATGTACAGTTTAGTGGCACTAAGTACATTCACATTGTTGTGCCACCTCATCACTGTCCATCCACAGAACTGTTTTCATCTTGCAAAACTGAAATTCTACCTATTAAACAATTTTTCCCCCTCCAAGAGCTCATTTTTTAAAAAAGTATAGTATATCACTTTCAATAAGAACTTATTTTTATTGAGGTATTTGTGTTTCCTTTTCAGAAGGAGAAAGGCAAGATTCTTCTGTGTTTCTCGACTCTAAACATCTTAATCCAGGACTTCAGCTTTATAGGGCTTCATATGAAAAAAACCTTCCTAAAATGGCTGAGGCTTTGGCTCATGGTGCAGATGTGAACTGGGCTAATTCAGAGGAAAACAAAGCAACACCGCTTATTCAGGCTGTATTAGGGGTATGAACTTATACATTGACATTTTCAGTGGTAGTAAAACATAAAAAATCATAATACATTCTGAACATGGCTGTAGTATTATGTTTTGCTTTAAGAGATGAGTTGGAAAATAGAAGGAGCCTCTGTGCAGCTATTGGTGATCTCTGAGCATCACTTTGATTATTTCAGATTTTTTTTTCATAGTGGAAGAAAATTCTGATAATGAAAGTATGTAGTGTATTTTCCTAGTTCACAAACTGCAAATGAATCCCTCATAGAAGTTGTTCTTGGGAAGAAAACAATATAATTTATCATTTCTCTGCTTTTGTTGGAGGTTTTTTTCTTTTGAGGAGAATGAAATGGAAATGCTTTTTGAGTAAAGTAAATAAAACTATACTATTTTAGAAATGGAATTACATTACTGTTTTTTTTTGCTTTTGTACGCTATTAATCCTCTTTTTTTTTTTTTTTAATTTAAGGGCTCTTTGGTGACATGTGAATTCCTCCTACAGAATGGTGCTAATGTGAACCAAAGAGATGTCCAAGGACGGGGACCACTGCACCATGCAACTGTCTTAGGGCACACAGGGTAACTATAGGGCTTAAATATTTAAGTAGATTTTATTTCAAAAATTATTTTGAACTAATGTTTTTTTTCCCAAATTAAATCATTAGGTAGCGTTTGTAAAGGGATGCATTCCTGTGACTTATATTGTCATGATGGTATTTGAAAGTTAAAAAAATCTTATTCAGAAAAAAGCTATTATTAGTTTTCAGCTATGAAAATTGCAAAGCTTACATCAGCCTTAACTCGTCATTCAGTAGATCAGTTTTAGCATTTAACCTCCTCTGTTACTGAAATTGTGGTGATTTTGTCAGACAACTTAATTCTGTGTTTACATGCATTTATGTTTGTACACATACATTATCTGCATAGCTCGCACACACTCAACCTATTTGGGGAAAATTTTATAACTTTTCAATTTTATTTTTTCCATGGGGTTGCTAAAGTCACATTTTAGACTAAATTCTTAGTTTGGGCTTTTGACATTGTGGCTTCTGGAGCAACATTAAGGCTCACTGTACAATAAAGCCATGAAAATGGACTTTCTATTAGAAAGTATAAATGAAGTCTAGATGTTGGCCTTATGTGGAAAGTTTGTATCTTAGACGATTATTTTTTAATAAAACATCTCAGGCTCTCCAATTATTATTACCTGGATAAGCAAGAAGCTGTTCTTTTTTATGTTTTTTTTATCATAACATGTTTTCTTTCCTTCTATCAGCAAAGAGATTCTGTTCAATAACTTCATCATAAAAACTTTTTTATACTTAAAAAAGGTAGTATTTAAGGTAACTCATCCTTTGTGTTTTCTTCTTTATCCTTTTTTTTTTTTTTGAGACAGTGTCTCACTGTGTTGCCCAGGCTACAGTGCTGTGGCTATTCACAGACACAATCATGGTGCGTTATAGCCTCGAACTCCTAGCCTCAAGCAATCTTCCCACCTCAGCCTCCTGAAAAGCTGGGACTACAGCCACCATGCCCAGGCTGTTTTTCTTCTTTAACTATCAAAATTCTTCCTATTTTATTTCATAGACTGTATTCACCTATTCTTTCATAATTTTTTTTCTTTTTTGAGACAGAGTCATCTTGCTCTATTGCCCCAGGCTAGAGAGCAGTGGCATCATCATAGCTAACTGCAACCTCAAACCCCTGGGCTCAAGCAATCCTCCTGCCTCAGCCTCCTGAGTACCTAGGACTACAGGGGCATGCCACCACACCTGGATAATTTTTCTATTTTTGGTAGAGATGAGGATCTCCCTATGTTGCTCAGGCTGGTCTCAAACTCCTGGGCTCAAGTGTTCCTACCACCATGACCTCCCAAAATGTTAAGATTATAGGAGTAAGCAACTATACTCAGCCTTTTTTCCTCCATTTTTGTCAGTTTCATCAAGGTATGAATGTTTGTGGAGTACAGCAGGAAGATTACTTTCTACTCTTTGATGTTGTATTTTCATGAATATATTATGACGTTTACATTGCCTTGGCTTTCTTCATTCTCAAAAATGATCTTGAGTGATCTTTCTTTTGTTTTAAGTTTATATTAATAGGTACCTGTGTACATCTTTTTAGGATATTTGTTGAGGGTAGGGATCATAATTTATATATTCCACAATGCCTCATAGTACTAGATTAAATAAAATAATGTATATGAAAATACCTTGAGATGTATAAAAGTGTTGATCTTGGTAAATTTTTATTAGTCAGTGTTTGATAAATATTTGTAGAATGAATCAACAATTTCCATATGAAAATGTTATTTCTTTAAGTTAGGTAGTGCTATTTATTTATTTATGAATGAATGAATGAATGAATGAGACAGAGTCTCACTCTGTTGCCTGGGCTAGAGTGCTGTGGGATCAGCCTCGCTCACAGCAACCTCAAACTCCTGGGCTCAAGCGATCCTACTGCCTCAGCCTCCCGAGTAGTTGGGACTACAGGCATGCATCACCATGCCCGGCTAATTTTTTCTATATATTTTTAGTTGTCCAGCTAATTCCTTTCTATTTTTTTAGTAGAGACAGGGTCTTGCTCTTGCTCAGGCTGGTTTCAAGCTCCTGAGCTCAAACGATCCGCCTGCCTTGGCCTCCCAGAGTGCTAGGATTACAGGCGTGAGCCACCGTGTCCAGCCTGCTTTTTATTTTTAAGGTGAATACTAATATTTTTCTTGTTGACAATATCTGAAAAATGCTGTTTCCTTAAATAGGCAGGTATGTTTATTCCTAAAACGAGGTGCCAATCAACATGCCACTGATGAAGAAGGGAAAGACCCTTTGAGCATAGCTGTGGAAGCAGCCAATGCTGATATAGTAACCTTGTAAGTATTTCCTTTTTACTTGAGTATTTTCCATACAATCTATTATAGTCATCGCTCAGTTATCTGCAGGATATTGGATCTAGGACCCCTGTGGATACCAAAAGTAGAAATAGTAGTGTAAATGACTATCAGTCACTTACAAAGAGAAATTCCCATGGTTGCCTTGAACTGCTAAGCTTCCACTGTGAATTCTTGATTTGCCATCTATCACCCCTCCCTAACCCCTACCAAATAAAAAAAACAAAACAAACAGCCAAACATACTTTCTCAGTGTCCTTTCTATTGTGGGTAAATGTAGAACTATTAAATCATTATACATTTAGAATCGGAGAAAGAGAAGTTATTAAAGAAAAGATAGGAATAGTATAGAGAAACTAACTCTGGGTGCAGCTTCCCAGACAATTCCTGTATAGCAACGGCCCCTTCCCTCAAAACTGTTCTCAAATTGTCTAAATTTTTTCGTTTTGCTTTGTGTGAGGATTCCAGTTTCACTTAAGCATTTTTGTAAATAAGTATCCTTTCTAAAATCCAAATACCAAAGGAAGACTTATGGAGCTATTGTTAATTCACTCAGTGGTTGAGAGAGGAGATGAAGGGAATTGGGGTACTTTAAAAATAGGAAAACTCCATATGAGGTGCTGCAGTTGCTGGAGAGAACATGTCAGAAGAGGATGATGGAGGTCTGGAAAAGCAGTGGAAATTTGGTGGCCCAGAAAGACAGGCAGGCAGTACAAAGTAGGAGAAGAGTACCAAAGACAATATTTGCCTATTTCAAAATGTTGCTCATTTTTAAAAATGGGAGGAAATACTTGTCTTCATAATTCAGTGTTGCGTGTCTTCTTCTGCCAGGATGAATAACCCAAAAAAGAATGTATAACCAAGATGGTAACCTTGAGAAGATCTTGGTTACCCACAGTCACTTGTTATGTTGCATATTAAAATAGATTCCCAGAATTTAGAGATAACACTGTTGTTTGTATGTTCGGAACTACCTCACCTGAGGGTGAGCCAGATTGAATTTATGACAGGGTCTTATAATAATTTCAGCAACTGGCAGTTGAAACTTGACAGGTTACTGTAGGAGTCAGGAATTCTCTGGAGTCTGGAGGAAGCAAGCTGCTAGAGGTATTGTAGGGATACTGCTTAAATAGAGCTGCAATGTACTTGTCAGGGATCTTTTATTGTCTTTTCTCATGAGAATTGTATGAAGATGAGATGTAGTTATTTTTGTATCTCAGATTGAAGGGTCTGATAAACTGAAAGTCAGTCTATTTTAGTGGCAAATGAAAAAAATTACGTTAGTACATGTATTACCTGCTTATATACTTCATTTATGAACATTTATATTGTATGACTTCATCTAAAAGATCCTTTTATTTAATTTTAGGTTACGTTTAGCAAGAATGAATGAAGAGATGCGGGAATCAGAAGGACTTTATGGACAGCCAGGTCAATATTCTACTAATAATCATACTGAAATGCAGTATAAGAAATGCATTCAGGAATTTATCAGTTTACAATTGGAAGATTCGTAGTTCTTAAGTAAACTAATGTGATACTAGAGAGTTTTTATAACCTACTTGTAAATTGTGAGTTGTTAGCTATGTACTGTACTTCCTGAATTCTTGGGTGGCTAATCCTGGGCCTTTAAAAATCCATAAATATTCTTATTGCAGTACCCATTTACTTGCTATGTTTAACTCTGGCTGCTGACTTCTTTATCTGCTGTACACTTGTCTTCCATATACATTCCAGTGAAGTGAATGGAATGGTAAAAGTATTCTTTATATATTTACAGCAGCAAAATAGTTGTTTTCTTTTTGGAATTCTTTTTAGCTGTCAAGTGAATATAACAAAATTGTTTTCTTTTTGTTATTCAGGGAATTTCTATAAATTGTGTTCAGGGAAAAAAAAATACAAATCACCATGTTTCTGGCTATAAAAAGTCAGTATGGAAAATGCCAGGAAAAAGTTTATTGATGAGTTTTGTACTCCAGTCGAAAAACGAGTTGAAAATTTAAAATAAAAATTTACCAGTAGGTTGAGAAGTCCATGATGGGAGTGGAGTTAGTATAAAAAGTTGAAGGAAAAGGTCTTATTTTACCTTTAGCTTTGCCCCAAGCAATTGTACAATATCTGTTGGATAATTGGAAGTATTTAGAACAATTTTTTGTGACCCTGATGACAAAGTAGACTTATTAGATAAATCTCAACTCATGATCACCTCCTTTCCTTTTGAGTAATTTTCACCTTTGAATCAAGACGTCAAGAAAAGGAAGAAATGTTGCTCACCAGATTCCTCTCTTTGATGAACACATTCTTCACAAGAAGAGAATAATTATTGGATCTCTAGTTTCATGAATTTGAGTATATGAATTGCTAATTTATTTGTTATGAATTCATATACATATTAGTAAAAAATTTCAGGAACTTATGACTAAAATACTTCAGAATGTTCAGTTTACAATGAGCACATTTGGTTTTTTAAAAAAAGAATATTGATACGTTATTTTTAAAGTGGCCTGGTAGTATCATTTCTTCTTTTTATTCAAATACGTTTTGAGATTTCTGTACTTTATGCTAGCTTCAGCCATTTATTTTGACCAGATTAATATATAATTAATATCAATGTGTGGCCATTCTTTTCTCAGAGGACTGTATTTACTACTTATTTTTGGCCTAATTTAATAGGGAACAAGTAAGAACTTTGAGAATAGAGGCACTTCAGCTGGATACTTCTAATCTAGGCTGTCCCACTTTAATCCTATGGATCATACAGTACTATTGACTCATAATATTCCAAGATGTAACAGTGCTGATTAAGGGTGAAGCTCTAGCATTAATTCTGGATTTCACCCATTTGTTTTAAACTTGAATGTTAGATTTTAAATAAGTTATAATTTTGTAACAGATATTCTTAAGTGATAGTATTACTAGGCCATTTTTGAGGCCTTTGTGTTTAAGCACTTTACAATAAAAATTGTTCAAAGGATATGACCTGATATTTGTGAGATAAGAGTGAACTT